AGATCACGAAACGCTTGGGTGCTGTCGGTGCTACTCGCCTTCCAGGATGGGGACCGCGTGATCCTCACTGTTCCTGGTTGGAGACACTACAAGATATGGCTGCCAACCGATGTCGGTTGCCTTCTTGTTGTCAGTTTCTTTCCAGATCGCGTGGATGAATGTCTGGAGGTGTAGGCACCTCGGAATGATTGTGTTAAGCTAGCACTAAGTCCCTCCCCCATTCACCTTTATTCTTTTCTTCACAATAAGGCCCTTCAAATAAGTCATGGTTGTAGGGCAGTGAAGCATCGGTGTTGAACACTGATGTCATGCTTTCGATGATGGTGATGATGATGATGATGATGATGACGATGATGATGATGACCATGCAGGAGTTTCTGCTCCCAGGGTCCATGAACAAATCTTGCACAGATGTTCTAGTCCGTAAAAATCACACACGCGTTTACCACACATCGGTCGATTTGACGGTCTATCATGGTAACAAGCCCTAATTTAACCACCCGATGATACCTACATTAGGCTTTTTTAATTGCGCAGAAATGTGATTAGTTTTCACACAGTTGTTATTGAAACCCAACACTGAATGATGGATTTAATGACATCAACCCATTAACTTGGAGACCGGTTTACCAGAGTGAATTGGAGAGGGGTCACTGTGTGAACAAATCCGCCACCTAGCAGAGTACTGTTCTTTTGACGGGGTCGTTTTGACCTTCCCGGATATTATGCATTGCCTCTTGTCTGGTTCAGTCAAAAATGATGGTTCAGTCAGTCGGTCAGAAAATTCATGCAATTTGTTACTGCCAGAACGTCCTTAAGTATACAGCGTGCGATCAGATGTCCCAGTCCATCTGACAGTTTCAGGAGTATTACTTCCACTGGCATTCATCAGATGGGCGATGTGTTATTGAACATGGGAAACAATGCACTACTAGTCCTGACGAGACGTCTTACTCGGCTTAGATTTTCGTAATCCGACTACGCATCGTCCATAAACGACCGCTATAACTAGAAACACACGTCTTGACATTAACTGGATCATTAGAAACAGTCGAGATCCCTCACCGTCCTGTTATCAGAATAGGCCAACAACCAACTTTATCAATAATCGCCTGGGTCGATATTTTGCTTAGTGTGACCATGGACTTAGGAAGCAGATGTGCGGTCTGTAGTTGAGAGGGAATCAAGGGGTCTGGACAAGAAAAACCTGGAGCCAGCCCAAAGTCCAACTATCTCAAACCCAGGAAGGATAAGAAGCATATGTCAAAATTCTGGCGTAGGATTGTATCCACCTGTCCTGTGCGACTACATAGCACCATTTTTGTGGATCAGCTGGAAGCGACTGCAGCTTTTGTTGAAGGTGAATCAGCCACCTAATCCTAAACCACGACTATCCGAGGTTGTTGTGAAACCACATAAGACATGAATCTGACATGACTGTGGGCCAGAGCAGAGAACTCAACGAATGTGGATGCCCAGTAGAACGTTGCTTTTAAAATATGGTTACAGAGTTTCCAGATGAAATTAATCCCAATAATAGCGGGCGCTTTCGCCGTTTCCACTGGACGAGGTACAAATAAAGTTGTGCTTGGATTTTGTAAGGTCCAGTCACATGGGGCGTTCGGTGTAACCATGAGCCTAAAAATCATTCACATGAAGTTCCTGCTAATACATTTAGAATGTTGACCTCAAAACCCAATAAATGGGAAAACTGATTACTGAGAAGCAAATTAGTACTACTAAATAAGGCTCATTTGTCACACAGAACGCCCAAGAAATCACGTGCAGTTCGGACAAACGGAGTTCGATACTACACAGGACACCTGGTAACTGATAGTTGATGAACAAATCGAAATTTTGTACACCTGTATGTTCATCAGTATTTCCATCAGCCAGCATGCACATTCCTTCGATCGGAGATTACGTATGAAGTCGCGGACATCTTTTTGAAAGTAAACCATCTAGTCGCCCTTCAACATCGTCTTATTCCGAGATCAAGTATTTAAGACCGCAGAATATTCCTCTTGATGCATTCCTGGATGAACATAAAACCGAAAGAAAATTGCATTTAGTTGCACCTATCACCACTGCTATACAAACACCCCTGTTTTCCGAGGTGAAGTGTCCAGAAAGGTCCCCGTTCTCCTGACGATTCCAAAGAGAAGACGCGAAGAATGCAAAACATTCAGTAAAAATTATGAATAAATGATGCCTGGAAGAGTTTTGGATGTATGGCACAGGATTTCTTAAATATGTGTCAGAATACTTGAGATTTATGCCATGTCTATCACTTGAGATACATGATAACGATATGTGGTAACGTGATAATGTGATAGTTCCTCAGAATATTCGTGTAACGGCAAACTAAGTCCGTTTTTTCATTATTTGTCAACATATGGTTCGGCCTCACGAACTTGAATGCTGGGCAATCAAACGTTACCATTATCAAACGTTTTCAGCCTCTCCGGAACCCCATAATAGACAACCGCAAATACCGAAAACATGCATCGGACCACCAATCAGAGGGTAACTGTCTGGATGCCACCTGATTAGCTGTTTTAGGGGGTAACCAGAACGGTACGGACACCCGCCGCATGAAAAGACAACTGGTGAACCAATCAGAAGACGAAACGGAAAGTTATGCGTAGTTGGTGTGTGAGAGTGTCGTTGCTGATCGATAAGCGTAGACAGAATAGATGACTCACCCAGCAGTACTGTGACCAATGTAACTGGTAAGTCTGCTCGTCCACACATAATTCTTGGGGGCAACACGACTTCCTCAATCAGTTTGGCCATGGACGTTGAAGAGGTGGACGGATTTTCAGTGACTGTTTAATCATAACGTCTTGGTGGTGGTCAAGGCCTTGTGATAAATAAAAATATAAACCGCCCAGGTACCGTGATGCATAGTTTGAGTCCAAACCGTCAGTCATTTCGGGCCTTACCCAGTGAGCTATCTCGAGCTCACACGAGACCACGAAAAAGAGCTACTGCTCAGAAAGTGGAATTGGTTAGGTTGTTGATACTCACGTCGAGATTGAAGTTGTCTAGCCCTGTTTGGTACCGCACTGTTGCTAACTGAAAAGGATTTTTCTCGCTTCCATTCATGCATGCATCCCACCTGTATCTTCTCCTGGGATCCCTAATAGATAGTTGTGTGTACCCCCTTGCAGCTTACGTGCTGGTCTGGGGGTTTTATTTTGCCCCGAAATTTTTTTAAATAGTGCTAGTTCATCCATGAAATTAGTTCTTTCTATATGCTCATTTACGCGAAAAAGTTGTTTCTGAAAGTGCTCATGTAGATCCCATTATAGTAAGAATTTTTTGACAAGTGCTGTAACAGTGATCGCCGGCCGACGAAGCTTGCCAGAATCTCAAAGCCGCTCGAGTGCGAGCGTCTCTGGTTGTGATTTCAGTTTAAGCAACAATAGATACACCTCAGTCAAAAGATCACGAGAAAACTTCTTTGGACAAAGATATTAAATGTTGATGTTTAAGGTGCTAAACTGTCTCATTCTAGGCAAATTACTAACAGCATTAGGTGCCTACAGTTCGTATGTACAGTTCGTATGTACGTACTCTGGGGTCGATCACTTCTAAACGGACCTACCGTTATTCAAATGTTGTTGATTAGGCCCCGATCACGTGACGTAATGTACTTTTCATATGGCTCCCTTACAAAACAACAGTGCATACACATGTTGCATGTTTACTAGATCTTTTCACAAACAAGTCAGGTTTTTTTAGATAATATGTAACGGT